ACTACACTACACTATACACTCCACTACACTACAGTACATTACACTATACTACACTCCGCAACACTACAACTACAACTACAGAACTACACAACTACACTCCACTACACTCCACTACGCTCCACTACACTAAATTACACTACAGTACACCACATTACACTACACTCCACTACACTCCACTACGCTACATTACACTACACTTCCTTCCACTACACTTCACTACATTACACCCCACTACACTCGACTACACTACAACTACAACTACGACTACACAACTACACTCCATTACACTCCATTACACTAAATTACACTACACTACACAACAGTACACTACACTACATTCCACTACACTCCACTACACTACACTACATTACATTACACTACATTACACTGAATGACACTGCACCACAGATAGACAGGTAGACAGATAGACAGACAGATAGGTAGATAGATAGATCTGTCAGACAGGTAGACAGCTAGACAGATAGACATGAAAGAGAAATAGATAGATATATAGACAGATAGATAGATAGATAGACAGACAGATAGATAGATAGATAGATAGATAGGGTAATTAGATCAAAGAGATAGATAGATAGATAGATAGATAGATACATAGAAAAAGATAGGTAGGTAGGTAGATAGTCAGAGAAAGAGAGAGAAAGAGTGAGAGAGATCAAGCACCTTTCAGTCCATCAGTGGCTTCGCTCTGCCATCCCTGATTCACAACAACCAACCTCTCCTATAGGTTTCCTATTTTTGAAACTTCCGCCATCGCCTTGTGCGGTACTACTGGTATGTATAGTATGATACACTATGGTATGAGTACATGATATAATATGTTAACATGATACGATACAAAACAATACAATATATAATTTAATGTAGCCTAATAAAACATAGCATAACATGATACGATACACTATAGTAGAATATGTATATATATCTATGTTTTTTCGAAGGAAATTTAGAAGTCAAACTTCCGACAATATGGACAGATGGAAAAGCAGAGGTGGGAAGAGTCAGAGAGGAGAACAGCCGAAGAGAGAAGATCAGAGAAGAGGAGAGTCGCGAAACACTGTGTTTTTCCAATTTGTTGGGGCTCCGGAGGGTCGAAAAGTAGGCTCGCTAAAGCGGCGGGTGCGGAGCCAGCTGGCCAGATGAGAGATGAACAGTTGCACGCCGTTGTGGCGCGAAGCACATTTCGAAGTGAAAAGGTACAAAACACCTCAGCGTCGTACCACTTTTGGAAGTTGAGATGTCGAAAAAGTGCACGCAGTTGTGGCGCGAAGCACATTTTGAAGTCAAAATGTTAAAAACACTAGGGGTTCGGACCACTTTTGGAGGCTCAGATGTCGCTTCGCTTCGCTTCGGGTCACTACACTACACTATACACTCCACTACACTACAGTACATTACACTATACTACACTCCGCAACACTACAACTACAACTACAGAACTACACAACTACACTCCACTACACTCCACTACGCTCCACTACACTAAATTACACTACAGTACACCACATTACACTACACTCCACTACACTCCACTACGCTACATTACACTACACTTCCTTCCACTACACTTCACTACATTACACCCCACTACACTCGACTACACTACAACTACAACTACGACTACACAACTACACTCCATTACACTCCATTACACTAAATTACACTACACTACACAACAGTACACTACACTACATTCCACTACACTCCACTACACTACACTACATTACATTACACTACATTACACTGAATGACACTGCACCACAGATAGACAGGTAGACAGATAGACAGACAGATAGGTAGATAGATAGATCTGTCAGACAGGTAGACAGCTAGACAGATAGACATGAAAGAGAAATAGATAGATATATAGACAGATAGATAGATAGATAGACAGATAGATAGATAGATAGATAGATAGATAGATAGATAGGGTAATTAGATCAAAGAGATAGATAGATAGATAGATAGATAGATAGATAGATACATAGAAAAAGATAGGTAGGTAGGTAGATAGAGAAAGAGAGAGAAAGAGTGAGAGAGATCAAGCACCTTTCAGTCCATCAGTGGCTTCGCTCTGCCATCCCTGATTCACAACAACCAACCTCTCCTATAGGTTTCCTATTTTTGAAACTTCCGCCATCGCCTTGTGCGGTACTACTGGTATGTATAGTATGATACACTATGGTATGAGTACATGATATAATATGTTAACATGATACGATACAAAACAATACAATATATAATTTAATGTAGCCTAATAAAACATAGCATAACATGATACGATACACTATAGTAGAATATGTATATATATCTATGTTTTTTCGAAGGAAATTTAGAAGTCAAACTTCCGACAATATGGACAGATGGAAAAGCAGAGGTGGGAAGAGTCAGAGAGGAGAACAGCCGAAGAGAGAAGATCAGAGAAGAGGAGAGTCGCGAAACACTGTGTTTTTCCAATTTGTTGGGGCTCCGGAGGGTCGAAAAGTAGGCTCGCTAAAGCGGCGGGTGCGGAGCCAGCTGGCCAGATGAGAGATGAACAGTTGCACGCCGTTGTGGCGCGAAGCACATTTCGAAGTGAAAAGGTACAAAACACCTCAGCGTCGTACCGCTTTTGGAAGTTGAGATGTCGAAAAAGTGCACGCAGTTGTGGCGCGAAGCACATTTCCAAGTCAAAAGTGAAAGAACTGAGGGGTACGGAGCACTTTTGGAAGTTGATATGTCGAAAAAGTGCACGCCGTTGTGGCGCGAAGCACATTTCCAAGTCAAAAGTGAAAGAACTGAAGGGTACGGAGCACTTTTGGAAGTTGATATGTCGAAAAAGTGCACGCCGTTGTGGCGCGAAGCACATTTCCAAGTCAAAAGTGCAAAAAACTTTTGGACGTTCAGATGTTCTTTTGCGTGGCAGGCGCAGGGGATTGTGCACCTTGTGAAAAGTGAGCAACGTGAAGGCTTGTAGCAGTTTCAAAAACGATGGCAGGCGTGGGACATTTGAAGACGATCTGGAAAGATGCATTTCGCGCGGCAGGCGCAGTACAAGAGACACATGAGTTAGATGTGTTAGGAGATCAGGGCGGAGATTTCCTGAGAGGGGTTGCATTTTGGAGCATGAGTTCTTCAAGCTTGCTAAGATGATTTTGCGTGACAGGTGCAGCACTTCGTATGACTTGGCTTCACTTTTTCCTGGCAAGCGCAAAACTTTAGAGACATGGACTGAAAAAATCGCAAAACGCATTGGTACGAGGCCGTCAGCTCTGCACTCAACTTTCCATTTTTGAAGCAAGTCTTGCAGAATTGCTTTGTTTTTGATGTTGTCAACGTAGAAAATTGAGGAAATCTAGCAGAATTGCTTCGTTTTTTGGCGTTGCCACATTCAAAACTTGAGGAAGTATCGCAGAATTGCTGCGTTTTTGATGCTGTCAAGTTCAAAAATTGAGGAAGTCTTGCAGAGTAGCTTCGTTTTCAAACTTGCAGATAGATAGACAGACAGATAGATAGATAGAGATAGATAGACGGATAGATAAGCAGAAAGACAAAAGATAAACAGATAGATAGACAGATAGATAGACAACTGCAACTGCACTACACCACACTACAACTACAATTTCAACTACAACTACACTACAACTACAACTTCAACTACACTTCAACTACACTTCAACTACAAGAACTACAGCTACAACCACAGCTACACCCCAACTACACTACAGCTACAACAACTACTACTACAAACGCAACTACAATAACAAGTGCCGCTACAAGTACAACTGCAACTACAACTACAACTGCAACAACTACTACAACTACACTACAACTACAACTGCAACTACAGCTGCAACTACAACTACAACTACACTTTCAGCTACACTACAACTACACTTCAACTAGAACTTCATCTACACTACAACAACAACAATTACCACGACACTGCGCTACAACGACAACTACAACTACTGTTGCAACTACAACCACAACTCCTACAACTATTGCAACTACTACAAATACTACAATTAGGCCAATTACAATTTCAACTACACTTCAAGTACACCACAACCACACATGCAACTACAACTACAACATTACAACTTCAACAACATCAACCCCACTACAACTACAACTACAGCTACAACTACAGCTACAACTACAACTACCGGACTACACCGCACTACATCCAGGAGTTGTGAGTGAGGTGACCACTGCAACCATTGCAACCACTCCAAACAGCACAGCTCCAACCACCTTTTGGTCCATCAGTGGATTCGCTCTGCCATCCGTGATTCGCATCAACCAACCTCTCCTATAGGTTTCCTATTTTTGAAACTTCCGCCACCGCCTTGTGCGGCATTACTGGTAGATATACAGATGATCTTCACTGATCCCCGATCAGGGATCCAGCTCTTTCACTGGCAACGCAGGCAAACTTTGAGAGTTACCGCTACCACATTGAGAAATCTCCTTCCTTTGAGGCACGGGATTTCTTTTCCAGAACTGGGATCGTGCTGAAAGTATGAGCTTCAACTTCGACTTGTCACCACCGGCTTGCAGTTTTAGGTTTTGCTTATATATGGGCGTCAACAGGGCGATGCACTGGTTTTGGTGCAAGTGGAGAGCAGCATGGTTGCATGCGCAGTATGGTGACATGCGCAGTATGTTGCGCCGAACCAGGATATCCTCACTATGTACCACATGTACACTGTGGTCGTTGTGTGTGATGGGTCTGGCAGCCCGGTCTGGTTTTCTGTCGCAGTTGCTGTTGGACGAATGTTTTGTAAAGCTGGGATGCATTTCTTCATGTTAGGATTTGTTCTTGCAGGCTGTGTCGGTCAAGCCTTACTCTACCTTGTACAGGGGTCAGAATACAGGGTCAATGATTTGACAACCAAGATCATTTTTATTTTCTTGAAGATGTGGCAGGTTGCATGCAACCTGGTACTGGTACCAGGTACGCTTTTGGTTTGTTGACAATTTTTGTTGTACCTTCTTCTATGCTGGCTCACATACAGCTGTTTGAGCTGGCGAACGCCCGCAACTATCTCCGACCTAGAGACGAGAGAAAGAGGAAGGAAGTACAGAACCGGTTGCTACTTCTAGTTGCCATCAATGTGAGAGACCACGTGACACGAAGGATTTGGTTGAAAGACGTGTGAAACTATCCCAGAAGGCGCAGATCCTATTCCTCTCACCCATTCGTATCCCATAATATCCTCTCTCTTCCTATTTCACCTTATCATTGAATCATCCATCGATATCCATCGTGACAGCCTCCCTTGTGTGCGCACTTGGTGCGATGACCCTCTACCTGTCCAAGTGGTTCGCAGCTCAGGTCTCGGTTGATTCACGACAGGGCTGGATATCCTGATGGAATTGTGGGCACACCACTAATGTAAATTCTTCACATGAGGACAAGTTGGAAATTGATGGAATTGAGAGCCAATTGAAATTACTCATTTTTGGACAAATCCGGGGCAAGCATTGCCATCCCTACTACCAGGACTTCGCTGTGTTCCATTCTGGCACCTAGAGAGGTCGAACTCAGGTCCTTGGCCCCGCTGGTCGCAGCTGGCCTGGCGGTGGCACGTCAGAAAATGCTGCACACAGCCGTCCGACGAGGCGGGAGGATTCATCAAGGCACCTGGAGGCCCCCCTTTTTTAAAGATGGTTCAAGCCATCTCATAATGTTTCTTCGCTCTCTCGTCGTTTTTTCCGGAGCTTTCATCATCCATGACAGATCCAATTGTTGGTCACCGTTGGTCACGGTTGGTCACGGCTGGCTTGTTTCATTGATTTCCATTTGTTGCATCGTTTCAGCGGCAGGCGCCACACTTTGGGGCCCACGGTGGTTGGCCATTGGCCTCGGTGAAATGCTGCGCCCCTTGCCGTTCTGAGGTCGTGGCTAGCGCCGTAGGTCCCACCATGGGTCATTCCTAGAGCAGTGGAATTCTGGATCAATTCTGTATGGTGTTAAGAAGTATAGTGAGCCCGGTGATGAGGTAGAGGTAGCAAATTGGCAGGGTGATTTAACATTTCGTTTCCGACGAGACGAGCTGATTGTTTCTGTTCACACATTTTCGGTGGCAGATAAGCAAAAGAAACTTTTCATAGGCTAGAAAGTGTTTTGGTGAGGCTAGGGACTCGAGAGGCTTTGGGATGCTGAGACAAAAAAATCCAGGCTTGGTAGAATCCATGCATGTTTTTTTTAAAGTGAGGCTTGGGGCTCAGGAGGCTTGGGGATGCTGACAAAACTTTTCAGAAAACATGTTCTGCAGCCCGCAAAGCTTGGGGATCCGTTAGCCGAATTAGGGGTGGTGACGAAGTAGGAACTCATATTTAATTTGTGCAGATGATGTCATTGTGATTTGATGTCAGTGAAATGCTTGCCATTGTGCTGAAACGAACGGCTTCTTCACAATGCCCGTCCTGTTTTTTGAGTCTGAAACTTTCTTCACCAAAGGTGGTCAACGGTGGTTACACAAGAGCTCCTGCAAAGTTGCGAATTCCCAGGCCGCGTTGCGTATATGATGGGAGTTCAGTTTGAAAGCGACACCATCGAAAAGTGGCAAAAGGATCCAGAGAAGCGACTCTTGGCTGAAAAACAACGGTCACAGAAGCTGCGAAACATTGGATCCCTAGTGAAACCAGATTACCCATCGGCACCACCTACCAAGTACCCCAGTTTCTGATACTGATACGATTTATGAGTCTTGTTTCCGATTAACAGAATAATTCTCATGAGGATATATACTGCATCGATTTCTGCTGCGTGTCTCGCTTGATGGGTAATCCAGCCATATCCAGCCAGGTATATAACCGTGTTTGGTGAATTGGTTTGTTCGACCAACAAAAACAACAGGTGGCATCATATTGGCACCATGGATCAAATCAAACTCGAGTACGAACAATGACCATCCGACTGAGGGCTAGATCCGAATCGTCAATATCTCACTTGTTGGCATCCACATGGAGCATTCACCTTCGGCCCAGTCTTCTTCACCAGTAAGATGTTTCTTGGATTTTGACTGATTTTTGCATTGGTCCTTGGGAGCTGGGCATGTGAAAGGAGGTTCAGTTGCAACCAACTTGTCGGTAGTCTCTAAACCAACGCAAACCGTCATTCTCCCATTCAACATCATCATGTTCAGCTTACGATTGCAGTGCCAATGTCACTTCTGCCAAGCTTTGAGTTACAACCGCACGACATCACTGAGGTCTGCAGAGTCAACCACAGATTTGGCCCAAGGGCCACGGAATTGGTTCGTCTCTCGTTCAAACAGGATACAAGTGGGTGGGCCCAAAAAATCTACAGATCTCACTCCATCCCAATCTGCCAAATCAAGATGGTTCAAGATGGTTCAACATGGTCCATCTTAGGAAAACAAATGGTTGTGGAGTTGCGATCCCCATTTTTGGATCCACCTGAACGGGAAGAGATTGGTACTGCAGGCAACAAACGAAGATTGTGCTCCTGCTCTTGTAAGAACTGTAGAGCTTCGCACACCGGCGATGCCAGAAGGGTTTCGTATAGTAGTGTGAGCGTTGGTGTTGTTCATGTGCTCTGCGCGTGCGCGCAGGTGCAGAGTACAGTGTGATGTGCTTTTCATACCGCAGCTTGTAACCATCTTACCACACATCGTTTTGTCGCATTTTTGTGCTTGTGCTTGTGCTTGTTCTTCTTCTTCTTCTTGTTGTTGTTGTTGTTGTTGCTGTTGTTGTTGTTGTTCTTCTTCTTCTTGTTGTTGTTGTTGTTCTTCTTCTTCTTCTTGTTGTTGTTGTTGTTGTTGTTGTTGGTACCCCTGCAGCTTTTTCTATCCCTACCCTCTTAAAAATGAAATTTGGGGGGGGGAGTCGTACTGAAATTTCATTTTAAAATTCCATTTTTGCATTGATTTTTCTCAATGATCAACATTCTTCGTCATTCCATATCATTGGCAAACAGATGAAAATTAAATACTTGCGCTTAGCTCCGGAGGAGCTAAGCACATGTCAGACTGAAGCAGCACATGTGTAGGGGTGGCATCCCTCCAAAAATTGCGTTGCCATCATCATACTTGCGCTCAGCTCCTCCGGAGCTAAGCGCAAGTATTTTCTAACCAGTGCCCAAAGCTTGTCAAGAAATGTTACTTTAAAATTCCATTTGAGCAATTGGATCACTATCCCAGGGGTTCCAAGCAAAAAAAGTGGAATTCGACAGGTTGGTTTTGCCCCCCCCCGCCCTCCCCCTCTATAGGGGTAGGGATCTTTTTCTCAATCTCGTTGTGGCCGAAAATGGTCAAATAGGTTGTGTTTCTCCGTTTTTTTGAAACTCTCGGAGCAAAAAAACACTGTAAATATCGATGTTTTTTGCGCCTCGGAAGCCTAAAACCACGGTATTTACGTTGTTTTTTGCTTCTGGTAGCAAGAACAAATGTATTTACAGTGTTTTTTTGGCTAGTGCCTAACAAAAACACGGGTATTTACGCAGTTTTCAGCATGTTGCAAGAAGTATTTTGTCCTTGCCAAAGGCGCACACACACACACAGTGTAAATTACAGAGTTTTTACTCTTGGCACGCACCAACAAAAAAGCAAACCTCCGCCAAAAAGTGCCTAAAATGACATCCAAAAAGCATCTTGTAATTTTATGGTCTTTTTCCTATACTCCGGACCCTGAAAAACGTGAAAACACCACCCGCCTGAAGGATTTCGGGGGTCGGTGGCAGACGCGCGCCCCTGGGTAGCTAAAGCTAGCCACCACACACGGCGAGGCATCGCCGGATTTAAGACAGCCGGCCAGGGGCCCACAGGTGAGACAGTGAGTAAACCATGAGAAACCTTTGTTGCAAAAGCAGGCACTTGTGGTGCCCCATCCATACTTGACACCCCTGAGGTTGGAGTTGCTACGCTGCTCTTTCGTTTCCCGCTGCTCGGACGCTGGGCTAACCAAATTGGGACGTTCATTTTTTCATGGTTGTATATATATTTTTTGTATTTTTTAATCCTCCCTTTCTCCCCAGACACTGTGTCCACACTGAGGGGTTCTTACGGTAGGTGTAAAGGCCGGTGCTTGATCAGGGTGCTCACTCTGGGCCCGAGCATTTTTCCCGCAAAATTCGGTATAAAGTGGCCCTTGTGACATGTTGAAATGCATTTCGACTGCGCAGACTCGCCCAAAGTGTGGGCCGCGGGTTTGGCCTGTGGCATTTTACCTGAAAATTTCCGTATAAAGTGGCTCTTCTGAAATGTTGACATGCATGTCGACTGCGCAGGCTCGCACAAAGTTCTCAATCTGGGGCGCGGCATTTTTCCTGTAAATTTCCGTATAAAGTGGCTTTTGTGAAATGTCGAAGTGCATTTCGATTGCGCAGGCTCTCGCAGAGTGGGCACCTAGGTCTGGCCTGCAACACTTTTCGTGTAAATTTCGGTATAAAGTGGCTCTTGTGAAATGTTGAGGTGCGTTTTGACTGCGCAGGCTCGCGCAAAGTGGGCGCCTGGGTTCTGGGCTCCGGCACTTGTCTTGTAAATTTCTACGCAAAGTGGCTCTTGTGAAATGTCCAAGTGCATTTCGACTGGGCAGGCTCGCACAAAACACGCAGCGCGGTCTTGGGATCGGTCCTCCTCCTCCTCAGTATCATCCTTTCCTCCCCCTCAGCATCATCATTCTCCACATCATCCTCTTCCTCCTTGACACCGCCATCCTCAACATCATCATCCTCCACCTCTTCATCCTCAACATCATCACCCTCAACATCATCATCTTCCTCCTCCTCAGCATCATCATTCTCAACATCATCATCTTCCTCCCCCTTGACATCATCATCCTCCACCTCCTCTTCCGCAACATCATCGTCTTCCACCTCATCTTCCGCAACATTATCATCCTTTTCATCATCCTCCTCAACATTGTCATCCCCAACATCATCATCTTCCTCCTTCTGAACATCCTCCTCCTCCACCTTATCATCCTCAGTTTCATCTTCCACATCTTCATCCTCATCCTCCTCCACAACATCATCATCTTCCACATCAGAGGCAGAGGCCCCCAACCACTGCTTGCCTCCGGGCTGATTTTTCTTCTTCTGGCAGGCCCCGGCAACCACTCCGACCACAGCACCGGAAGTCGCGGCCTCAAGGAAAGCACCCCGGAAAGCAAACGAACAAACACTTTGAAGTTCGGCCGCCGCAACTGAAGGCAGCCGAGACCAACCCGAACCTTGCGCCGGAGGCAGAGTCAACCGCGCGTCCGTTGCCAGGCTGCACCCGCGACCAACGCCCCGGGGCCAACGGTCTTCTCCTCAGTCAAACAGACTTCAATGACAGACCGACGGAAAAAGAACCCAAAAAAACCATGGACAGATTGCAGACACGGAAGCATCATGCGATGGATAGCAACACGTCGCAAATCCCGAGGAGGAGGAGGAGCTCGAAGCCGAACTGAACGCATCGGGCTTAGCAGAGCACGGGAAAGAAAGAGAAAATTAAAGAGACAGAAGAAAAAGATCTCTGCACACAAACAGCCGCCAAGCTATTTGCTTATACGCAGCCAACAATGCCAGGCAGAGTTCGAACGACTCGAGCGTCAAGAAGAGGCTTGCATTAACTACAAATGGAAGCGCCTTTATACATTAAGTCTTGGGTTCATGCCGAAGCAGACAGTATACATCCGAATTCATCACGGATCATGCGTCATATGGAGAGACAAAGAATGAATGTGGTCTCGAATCAGACCGCGGCACTGCAGGCACAGCGCCAAAAAGAAGAGGCCGGAAGAGACAGAAAAAAAACCCTACGCGGCAGGTTTGGTCCTGCCTCGTTGTAGTGGAAACGGAACGTAAGTGATCCCCGACTAGATGTCGTAAATCGCACAGGTGTCCGTCAGAAAGAAAACCCAACTAGCCCTGCGCAGCTGCAGGCCGACCTCCGGGAGGCAAAACGTCGTAGTCTCAACGACTACGACGGAGCCGCTCGGAGACGGTAGCTCCAGAGGCAGCCAGAACCTCAGAGGACAGCTGCAGACGGGTAAGAACCAGACGACGTGCGGAACCCAACGGTTAGCGGGAGGAAGGTGCCAAAAGCTGGGGATGAACGTCATTTGTTTTGAATGATTTTGGGGGATAATAATGGGCACTCTGAGTAGGGCATGCGCAAGTTTGCAACTGCATGCATTCATCGTATAACATTTGTAAAAAGTCCAACACTTTGATGAGTCATGAGTTTCCCTTTGGGTTCTGAAGTCCTTTTGTTTTATATATATATATATTATATATATATATATACATATTTACCTATACTTATAGTTTTGTACATATAGATATATTCAAATATACACATAGTATCGTATGCATAGGTGAAACAAAGAACATAGATATGATATTATATGTTGTTATTTTTAGATTGTGGGCGAAGATACGGATTCATCATGCGAATCAATTTCGCGAGTTTTTTTTGGGGGAAGCTGCTAGGATGTAGAGAAGGGCACATCCAGCACGATGGGGTTAAGATAGCGCGCATGTTGCCCATCACGAGCGCTATGAACAGCGTGTTTGCATGCACTGGTGGACCTTTTCTTTTTTTGGTAGCGTGCGTTCATCACCCGCTCAGTCACATCATCATCCTCCACCTCATCTTCCGCAACATCATCCTCGCAACATCATCCCCCTCCACCTCATCTTCCGCAACATTATCATCCTCAACATCATCGTCCGCAACATTTTCATTCTCATCCTCATCATCATCACCATCATCGTCATCATCATCATCATCATCATCCACATTATCATACATTATCCTCCCACTCCCCCACAGTGTTTGGGGTCTCTTGCCGGGATAATTTTGTTAAGCAACTGCAAGTAATCCTTGTCTTGTTGGCATCTTGCTGGCTAAATTGCAGTGCGATGTTGTGCCGGATTTGGTGTGTTGATGCGACAGGAGAGTACCTGGCATTGGTCAATGCGCGGCCAATAACTCAAAACATGTCCGACGAGTTGCTTGCCTTTTCTTCATGCACAATCAGTTAAATCAACTGCAGGTCAGACACAAAAATTGTGGAGTTTTAACTGCCAGGTTTCACATGGTTTCCCCATGTTTCACACAGTTTTTACCACGCTTCCTCAGTTTCAACCACTTTCAAATCATGCGTAGCTGCGTAGCCATACTTTCCACATTCCACATTTTTCCGTGCGATTCAGGCTGCTTAATAAGGGCCGTTCCGTGGCATTGCAGCCTGGTGGCCTACCAGAGCAGATCATGACTGACCATCGCAAGGAGCACCTGGCGCCTCGGCACAAATTGAAGTTCTTCACAGAGATGGAATCATCTAGAATCTGTATAGTCTGTTTATGTTTGTTTCTTGTATCATTCAATGAATCATGATATAAGATAATATAAGTAGTACATGTGACATGTAGTATATTCTCTGTCTACTCCGAAGTTTCAGTGGGCTTGCCATCAATTTGTTGTTCTGTTCTTTTGTTCAAAGTCTTTTCGATTCTGTTCACCTCATTTTTCCCAAACGTGTCAGCAAACCGCATGCCCAAAGTGGTGACCTGAATAAATGGCTGTGAGGTTTCAGGAGCCGGAGCCACTCTTCATGTCCTGCGATCTGCCGAGATCTGCCGAGATCTGCCGAGGTGTTTCCCCCGAATTTGGGATTTTGCCGTTTGGCGTTGAAGCATGGCATCGACCTGCTGCCGATCTATGCCTTCGGTGGCCCTGGCAAGAGGGGGCTGATGCACTCAGGGTCAATTTCAGGCCAAGGCACCATGACGTCAGTAAAAGTGGAAGGAACCGGAAGGAATATATAAACGTAAGGGACTAGAGTCGGATTAGATTGATTAGATACAGACAAAGTAAGTGCTCATGTTTACTGGGCGGCGCAACTGTTCTTCAGCTTTGTTCCACTACTAGTCCCAACTCCAACAGCCTTTGCCACAGTGGTTGTGCTCGAAGCCGATGGCAAGGTGAGAATCAAGTCTTCACCACCTATCAGTGGGGAAGAGAGAATCTGAGACCGCACAAGAGTCACAAGAGGTAAATCCCATTGGTTTGAGAGGCGATCCACAACTTGCAGGGTCCTAGCTGCTAGAACTGCAAGTTGGCCAAGATGGCATGCAAGTCCGAGCGCACACAGGGATGTTCTGCTCAGAGTGTATCAAAGTTCCCAACAGCAGGGCCTGTTGGGTTTCAATCTCTAGGGCTGGGGCTGGCTCGCGGGGACTTGCAGCCTTCAAAATCCGGAATGGAACCCTGGAACCCTGGAACCCTGGAACCCTGGAACCCTGGAACCCTGGAACCCTGGAACCCCGAAACCTTGGAACCCCGGAACCCTGGAAACCCGAAACCTTGGAACCCCGGAACCCTGGAACCCTGGAACCCCGGAACCCTGGAACCCTGAAACCCTGGAACCTTGGAACCCTGCGACCGTGGAACCCTGAAACCTTGGAACCTTGGCAAGGATTCTGGAACCCTGCAAACCCTGAAACCCTGGAACCCTTGGAACCCTTGGAACCCTGGAAACCTTGGAACCCTGAAACCGTGGGACCCTGGTACCCTGGAACCCTGGAACCCTGAAACCTTGGAACCCCGGAACCCTGGAACCCTGGAACCCCGGAACCCTGGAACCCTGAAACCTTGGAACCCTGCGACCGTGGAACCCTGAAACCTTGGAACCTTGGCACCCAGGAACCCTCAAGGATTCTGGAACCCTGCTACCTTGGAACCCTGGAACCTTGGAACCCTGCAACCCTGCACACCTGGCACCCTGCTGGGATCCTGGAACCCTGAAACCCTGGAACCCTTGGAACCCTTGGAACCCTGGAAACCTTGGAACCCTGAAACCGTGGGACCCTGGTACCCTGGAACCTTGGAACCCTTGAAACCCTAAAACTTCCAAACCCTAAACTCTATGCGCGCTGCGCGCGCTGCATGCAATAAAGTAAACCCTAAAACTTCCAAACCCTAAACCCTAATGCGCGGTGCGCGCGCTGTGTCCCAGAGAAGTAAACCCTAAAATTTCCAAACCCTAAACCATCGTGTTATGCAACTTCCAAACCCTAAAGTTTAACCCGCGGTGTGCGCGCTGCATGCAATAAAATAAACCCTAAAACTTCCAAACCCTAAACCCTAATGCGTGCTGTGCGCGCTGCGTGCCAGAGATAAACCCTAAAACCTTCAAACCCTAAACACTAATGCGCGCTGCGCGCGCTTTGTGCAATAGAAATAAACCCTAAAGTCTTCAAACCTGAAACTCTCGTGTCATAGAGGTAAACCCTAAAATTTCCAAACCCTAAACCCTAACGCGCGCTGCGCGCGCTGTGTGCCATAGAAGTACCCCTTAAAATCTCCAAACCCTAAACCATCGTGTCATGGAGGTTAACCCTAAAACTTCGAAACCCTAAAGTTCAACCCACGCTGTGCACGCTGCATGCAATAAAATAAACTATAAAACTTCCAAACCCTAAACCCTAATGCGCGCTGCGCGCACTGCGTGCCACACACATAAACCCTAAAACTTTCAAACTTTAAACCGTAACGCGTACTGCGCGCACAGCCTGCCATAGAGGTAAACGGTTAAACTTTCAAACGCTGCGTGCCATAGAGGCAAAGCCTAAAACTTTCAAACGCTAAACCGTAAAGCAGGCTGCGCGCGCTGCGTGCCATAGAGTGCTCCTCAAAAGTGATTACATGTCATACTTTAGTGGCATCCTCCAAATTCATTAGTCAGCCTTTGTTAATCCAGGGCCCATTTTACACATGTCATCTTCTTGGTCGTGGCGCCATTTCAGGATCACACTGATGACCTAAGCTTTGGCCTTAACTATTATGCAGGCAAGCGACATCAGCACGCTATGGTATTGGAAGACACAGGGTTTGCCCGTAGACCAGCCAAAAAATCGATTTTCCACACTGAACAATTGGATTTAACACATTTAGAATAGGAGCTCCGCCTGATTCAGATTTCATCACTTAAAAGGTACCCATGCCTGACTAGCCTTCATGACTTAAAGCGTAACCACACCCGACTTAAGGGAACCATGCCTGACTAGCCTTCATAATTAAGAGGTACCCACCCACGCCTGACTTAACAGAACCCATGCCTGACTAGCCTTCATAATTAAAAGGTACCCATGCCCCTGAATTCAGGGAACCATGCCTGACTAGCCTTCACAATTAAAAGGTACCCACTGGAACCATGCCTGACTAGCCTTAATGACTTAAAAGGTAACTACACCTGACTTAATACCTGATTTACTGGTTTTGCCTGATTTTGGAAAAACGCAGGGCCGGAATTTGCAGGGCGCGGGCCGGAATTTGCCGGGCCCGGGCCGGAATTTGCCGGGCTGGGATTTTGGGGTCGTGCCTAAATAGGATTTTTGCAAAAATCGTGCATGACTGAAGGGAACCATGCCTGACTAAACATCATACCAATCATCCCAAAAGAATCCAATAATTCCAGCAAGTGATGCCTGACCAATCCCTGCGTCATAATAAACCGTCTGCCCCTCCCCACCCAATAATGAACACACGGAATAGTTTTTTGTATTTAGTGGGTATTTAGTATGAGGGTGCGAAACTTCCCCCTTGGTTAAAAAAAACTAAATTGGAAAACATTTTTTAAATAACATCTAACTAAAATATTGCCAAAATTGGATTCCGAAGCTTCCCCCTGACATTAAATTGAAAACATTCGTTTTAAAAAATGAACTTTATATTTCAAAACCGATTGAATTCCTATTCAAAATCTAACTCAAATCTTGCCAAATTGGATTTCGAAGCTTCCCCTTATATTAAATTGAAAACCTTACTAATCCCCACCTCCTTTTACTAAACGTACCCTAAATACTAAAATATTACATTGATTCCTTTTACTAGGGTCCGCGTTAAATTTTGGGAAATTTCAGGCTGGCCAGTTTGACTTTTAATTGATACCTTTTCAAAAACAAATTAAAAAAGAAGGTCCCATTTCAGGATTTCACCACCTAAAAATAAAAACTAGTCAGCCCCGGTGATTTTTTAAGCTAGGGTCTTTTAAGGTCGAAAAAATAAGTATTTTATATTACAACGTTTATATAATATTGGGGGAAAACTTCGAAATCCACTTTTTGGCATTTCCTGGCAATATTTTTGCTGGATGTCAAAAGGAAATCTAATCGATTCTTGAAATCGAAAAAACATAGTTTTTTTTAATTAGTGTTTTTAATTTAATCTTAGGGGAAAACTTCGAAATCCAATTTTTAGCAATATCTTAATTATATGTTAAACAGAAAACTAATCGATTTTGAAACAGTTTTTTTTTTAAATATATTAGGGCTGGTAATTTAATATTAGAGGAAACATTTCGAAATCCGGTTTTTGTTTTTATTTTTGTTACTACAATTTAAAAGGAAATCGAATCGATTTCAAAAAAGAAAAAATAATATTTTATATTAGGGTTTTTTAATGTAATATTAGGGGAAAACTTCAAAATCCAATTTTTGACCATATTCTAATTAGATTTCAAAAGGAAATCTAATGAATTTTGATATAGAAAAAATAGTCTTTGATATGAGGGTTTAATATGAGGGGAAAGCTTCGAAATCCAATTTCTGGCAATATCTTAATTTGAATTTACAAGGAAATCTAATCGATTCTGAAATAGAACAAATTTAGTTTTTTATATTGGAATTTTTCATGCAAGATTAGGGGAAGCATCGAAATCCAATTTTTGAACATATTTTAATAATTGGATTTTAATTTGATATTAGGGGAAAGCTTCAAAATCAATTTTTTGTTTTTTTTCATTAGATTTCAAAAGGAAATCTAATCGATTTTGAAACAGGAAAAAAACAAAATGATATTAGGGTTTAATATAAGGGAAAAGCTTCGACATCCAATTTTTTGGCCATATTTTATTTAATTTTTAAAAGGAAATCTAATCGATTTCGAAATAGAAAAACATACATAGTTTTTTATGTTGGGGGTTTTTATTTGATATTAAGCTTCGGAATCCACTTGTTTGCCATATTTTAATTGGATTTAAAAAGAAAGAAATCTGATCGATTTTGAAATAGAAATATGTGTATATATATATATATGTGTGTGTTTTTTATCAGTATTAGGGGGAAGCTTCGTACCCTAATACTAAAGACCCCCCCAATACTAAAAACTCCTCCAGGTGTTTGTTATTTGGGTGGGTGGGTGAAGGGGCGACTGTTTAGCAACAGGGGGAAGGGATTAAACCGTTTTTTGTTTCTAATTTCAAAATCCATGAAAATAATCTTTAAATAGAATACTGCCAAGAATAGGATTTCGAAGCTTTCGCCTAGTATCAAATAAAACACCAACACCTGAATTAAAAAAACTAAAATTGACGATTTTAAAGGACGGACCCCAATAAAAGACACCCCGGTGTTGACTAGTTTTTTATTCTTTGGGGGTGAAACCCTCACATGGTACCTTCATTTTTAAAATTGTTTCCTCAAGGGGATCAATTAAAAATCAGATTAACCAATTTGACATTTCCCAAAATTGGAAATCGCACCTAGTTTTTGTCATTTGGGGGTATTTTTCGTAATAGGGAGAAAGGATTAGCAAAAAGAATGCCTGATCAAAATGATGCTGATTCTGTGTGTTACAATCTTTTTGCCCACTACAGTGTCTACAGGGTTACAAGGGATGCCGTGCCAGCTAGAGTCCCAAGTCCATTCAACCAACACCCTAATCGATGAAGTTGGACTTGTTGAAATGGAAGTGGGACTGGACCAGTTGACATGGGGCGATGCTGACCTTCAACGGGAGCTTCGGCGCCTGAAGGACAACAGTTTGAAAATTCCGAACCTGAAATATATTTTCAAAATTGCCTTACTAAGAGTGATCCCCACCCTGACACACTATTCTGACATAGTTTCTGACATATCATCTGGACGTATATGTGGCATATATGTTCTGACATACTATCTTACATTCTTTTCTGAGATTCTATTTGACATTCTTTCTGGCATCCTATCTGGCATCTATTCTGACATACTTTCTGGAATATACTATATTCTGATCCTGCCTTGCCATGAGTTTGGGCTGGGAGTGCTTTTATTTGCGTGGATCAATGCCAATGGCTTGAATATCCACCAAATGTTGGTTTCACATGTTTGCACCCAATGATTGCCATTACCATTGATACCCCAAAATGGCCAGGTCCTGAATTTGAGAGTAGGTCCTGAAAAGTTTTCTGGGTACTGAAAAAACAGGACTTTGGCACAGGGTTTGAAAAAAGACGTAGGTGGAAGATTCAGGTATGCTGTTGGGTTGCAAAGCTGGGTTAATTATTTTTTTGTGTAAGTAAAGCACTTCGTTAACTCTGGCTTCGCTGACCGCGTCATGGTCGGAATGTTAGCTTGCAGTAGCTTGCATAAGGACCACTCGAGCGATATTCCAGCGTTTCGGCGTTGCGGTGCCGCTCATTAACCCCATTCCCAACAAGTTGACGTTGCACATGTCCCTGGGTCGCCAAGACTGGGGGTGACGGTTGGAGTCTCCCATCAAATCAGATTTAATATGACAAAGAATTTTCAAGCAGAGCTGTTTGCCAGTCGTGCACAAGGAATTCATTTTGGACCAACTCAGCTTTTGTATTCAGGAAGTGGGGTCGACCCATTCCAATGCCAGCAGCGATCGCGGATCCCGAGGATACGGCTGGCTACAAAAGCCTAGGGGGAGCGCGTTGGTGAGGGGGGGGAAGCAACAAAAACCGCAAATCTGCCACGATCTTCCTATCTTCCCATGTGCTATATATTATATAATACTATATAAATTATATAGTATTTATCAATGATCTAGTTACAAGTTATACATACATATACGTTAATTTCAATTTCAATTGAGATAATAATATTTTGTCAAAGCATGACTCCATTTCTTGGTCTCGATCGCTCCAATCCCTACAGTTGCAGGATGCGCTGGTCCACAGGATCTTTGCGCAGTTTCTGGGACTGAGATGGCACCAAAGTGAGAAAATCTTAGATCTTGAAGATAACTGAAGGACACTGGAAACCAAAACCCCAAGTGGCATGGGTACACATTAACAGTAGCATGAATCCAAACTCTCAAGGCTCTGACCACTCAACTCAACTTCGAAGTGACTAGCGAGAAGCAGTCTGCAGTGACTAAAGGCTGGTTGGTATCGCTCTTTCACCCGGCATTTGTGAACATTTTCCATCATTTTCCTCATTGTTCAGCACATGTTTCCTCATTTTGAGTAATTCTTCGATTCAGGTATCTCCTTGCCCTTGCAGATCTGTTCCAAGAGCACGCGGCCAATTGCTTGCCAAAGGAAGTCGCCCAACAAGGCACCGAAACGCCTGGATCTGAATAGCTTAATGGCTGAGAACAGGCTAATATTTTAAACCATGATCATTTGGTCTGCTTTGTGGATCATGATCAGGAGTATTCCTTTCTTTGACCTGAGAGCCTCTTGTAGTTCTGCTTCTTTCCAAGATTTGTGTCGCCTTTTCAAGGTGACCTGGTGACCTGTATTTGGCAGCTCCAGTGACGGCATGTCAGGCCTCCATGTGGTTTGGCGTGGCCATAGCAAAGAGAAACTGGATGAGCTGCTGGTCTCAGAGGCTCCTTTGTCACCCTACGGTCCTAAGGAAAGTACCCACTTGATAACTTGATACGGCGTATATTAATATATATATATATGTATGCGTTTATCATTTCCGTACCTTTGACTGTCTCCAACATCCTTAACATTCCTTAACTTAATTGTTGGATACAAGTTTCTTGCGGCCGCGTCTCAGCCGCGTGCTGCAACCTCACCGGCAGGCGAAAGGAAGAGAAATTCCTCCATGACACTCGGTTGATCTCGGTTGCACTTGTGGCTTCGATGTGTTTTTTTCGGGACTGGTTTTCAGCCGCTGTGATGGAACGAGTTTTTTCCCCCAAAGCCAAAGCTAGATGATCATGATTCATGATTAACAACAAATATCTTCATAAATGATAGATGATCATTTATGATCATTTTACATACATATCAAAGACAAAATCGTCGCCTCGGCTTCTCTGGGCCGCTGGGCCCAGAGGCCTCCACACCAGCGGCGCGAGAGCGCCAGTGGCGAAGCTGTGAGGGCCACCATGGTGAAAAGACATCGCGGCACCGCGGTCGGGGTTCCCCTAATGGGTGATGCCCTCATAGCTTTGAGATTTTTTGCATCTTTTTACGTGGGAAAAATATGTAATGGATTATTCCTGATGTTGGGGTACCATGGGGTACCCTAGTTTCAGACAGGACCAGGGACGAAGCAGCTTTAGTTGGATGGAATCACCTGCCATTGGTGTCGAGGATTTGCTTTTCAAGCTTCTGATGCTGCACCTTCTACCTAGACTTTTCTACTGTCCACAGATCTTGGTGGCAAAGAGCAAAAAGGTGTGCTTGTCTTTTTGGTTCCGGGGAATGAGGCTTCCAAACCCAGACTTTGGGAGCATTTCCTTCGGAAAAGGCTACCCGGAGGCTATGGAACCCAGATGGCTTGGTTGAAAGTTTGCCCTTCTGGGCAGTGAACATATCAGTGGAGAGGACACTCTGCAAGTAGCTAAGACGTCCTCAAACACTAGTTTTATGTGATTTGTTTATAGTGATATACTTGACATTTGTGGTGTCATGCGTGGGCATAGAACATGTTCATACGACTGCAGGTCGACCTTAAGGCCCAAAACAACTAAAACTGCTGCCAAGTGGAATCTGGTAGCGGAGCCCCCACGGTTCCAACCTTTCGCTTTCTCTGACTGCCCACGCCATAGCACTACGAGCACTGTTCTTGGTGAACTACGACATCGAGCACCACGAGCCAGCCTGCCGCTGGCGACCTGCACTACCTGGAGGAGATCGGGCTTGCGCTTCATCCTGGACTTCGTGACCGCCTCTGACCCCTTCGAAGTGGCCTTCAGCTGGACTACACCTTCGAGCTGCCCCTTCGCCATCATCGAGCTGCCCTTCCTGCTGGACATCCACAACGTGCTGAACTACCTCAACGAGCTGCTGCTGCCATTGCCCTACGACCAGGAGGATGACGACCTCTTCAGGCTCTTCTGGCATACCCCTGGACGAGTACCGCAAGGACGTGCCACCAGGGTGGCAGCCAGGGGACTCAAAGTATCCCCTGAAGCAGTTTCTTGAGAGGGTGAAGATGTGGTACCGGTTGTATGATGGACCGGACGAGGCAGTGGGTCCGTTGCTGGCTGGGAGATTGAGAGGAAGGGCACAGCAGTTGGCCATGAACCTCCGACTCCCTGACCCACATGGTCACGTGGATGTAGGCGACGCTGCACTTGTTCGCCTCAGCGTGGATGAAGTCGCCGACCCGGTGACAGGTGCCATCATCCAACAGGCGATACCCAGTGGAGTACAAGCCCTACTACATGCCCTGAGGAGCGCCTTCGGAGAAGCAGAACAACTTCAGGCAACCAAAGCCCTTGAAGTTTTCTTCGAATTCCGTCGTGGCCGACTCCCAATTCCTGAGTGGAGTGTGCAATGGGAATTGAACCTGGAGGAGGCCGTACTACATGCTGGTTTGGAAGTGAATCCAGTGGCGAAGACCTACCTCTACTTCAAATCCTCTGGACTGCCTCAAAAGACGGTGGACGACTTGCTGCTGCAGGTGCACGGCGACATGCGCCGCTTCGAAGAAGTGCGCACTCTACTTCTTCGTATGGCACACCGCAGCATGGACTCCAACCAGAGCGCGATGTATGAGGAGGTCAACAATGCCTACTACCTGGACGACCTGGACACCAACAGCTGGAGCACTGTGACGGAAAGCTCATGGCATGATGACTGGAATACATACTACAACCAGGACGAGCTCTACTCTTGGTACGAGGACCCCAACGAGCACTACGAGTACTATGAGGAGGAATGGCCTGAACAATGGAACTACGATGCCGGCTACGATGAGGAGCCCGCTGAACAAGCTGAAGAAGAACCTTCCGATGCAGCCCACAACAACATCAATGACGAGACCTACTACAAAGGAAAAGGGAAGTCCCGATCCACAACGATGGGACTGGGCTGTTCACTCTGTGGTTCAAAATGGCACAACACTCACAGCTGCCCTCTGAGTGAGCCGAAGGGCAAGGGTTCCAACAAAGGCTACAACAGGAGCAAGGGCAAGGGCTACAACAAAGGCTTCGGAAAGTCTCCATACCGCAAAGGCTTTGGGAAGTCAAAAGGATACGGCAAGAAGGGCAAGTATCCCATGAAGAAGGGTTTCGGCAAGAAAGGAGGATTTTGGAGTGAAGAGCTTCCACAAAACTTCACTGACTACTACGGTGGATCCTATCTCATGAACTTCAAGGACGAGATCCCTCAAAAGAGCAGTTCATCGACCTCTACAACCACAAGACTGGTGGCCATGGACTCGCCTGAAAAGGAAGAGCTGCTCACGGGAAAGAAAGTGAGATTTGAAGAACATCCACCTGGTGATCAGGAAGATGAGAAGCCTGCTGAGAAAACCTCCAAGCGCCTGAACTTCCCCGAGGTGGAGACTTCCAATGCCGACAACTACCACATGGTGAGAGGAGACCGCATTTGCGGTTTGCTGGTGGATCCTGGTGCTGCCAGTGGACTCATTGGCACAGATACCCTTCGAGAACTTCTGGATGCTGGCATGGTTCCACATGACAGAGCCAGCGAAGTGACATGGGGACCAAGCACCACCAAGGTCACCGGCATCAGTGGTCAAAGCGATGACACCCTTGCCAGAGTCAGCCTGCCGTTTGTCATGCCTGATGGAGATGAACATGGAGTTCCTGGCAACTACTCCGCCGACTTGATTGGAGGACATGGAAGCACTTGCCCTGCACTTCTACCAAACACCAGCCTGAGGCAGATGAGATCGGCAGTGCTTACCCAATGGTATGACAACGGAGACGGCATACTTGTGTGCTCTACGAACAACCTCCGTCCTGACCAACCTGGAGCCAATCTGGTGATCCTGCGCCTGCTGCTCACTGAATCTGGCCACTATGTGCTACCCGTTCAGAAGGACTTGGCCATTGCAACCATCACCGACGATGAGAAGGAGCAGATCAGGCGACTATGGACTGGACAACATCAACATCAGCCCTACCAAGCGACGACACTGGAGCAGACTGACATTCAGACTGAACACATGCACACCGGCAACAACCATGTCAAGGATGCCGAGAAGTTGCAGTTCAAGTCTGATGCAGACCTGATTCAGAACGACTCCAAAGACCTCATTCAGTGCGACAATAATGAGAAGCCTGCTGTTGATGTTTCCAACGATGGACTTCGAACGGGACATCAACAGGTGGCTGTGGATGAACCACCGATCCAGGTTCTGATGGGAAATGACTTCAACATGGACTATGACGACGGTGTCTGCGAATACGCAGGAGATACCTTCCCAGGGCACTTGCCAGAAGGCAAACTGCGCTACTTGCAGAAGATGTACAAGGCAGTGCCCGAGGAGTTTTACTCCAAGACGAAGAAGACCCCTGTGACACCTCGCAATGCCAGATCTTGGATGAAGAAACGCAAAGGCAGCAAGTTCCACTTCTGGGAATGGTGCAGCGGCTCTGGAAGACTGAGCCTCATTGCGCTTCTTTCTGGACTTTGCGTTCTCTTTCCCATTGACTACAGGTACGGCTCGGACCTATCTCATCCAGAACATCAACGCATCATCTTGGAGATTGAGCAGGACAACTGTGGTGGCCCCGATGTTCTGATGGCAACCCCTTCATGCCGACCATGGTCAATTTCATCCACGAGAAGAGATCTGGCGCAGACACAACAAGAGCGAGAAGCTGAACTACCAACCATCAACTACATCAAAGGCAAGTTCAAGAAGAGGTGCAAAGACAAGAAGGCAAACATCCTGGAACAACCGTGGAGTTCTGCACTCTGGGAACACCTTCAAGACCTACCTGGAGAAGTTCAACGCACCGATCAATGCCGCTTCAAAGCACAGGATGAGATGGGGAACCCAATCCTGAAGCCGACAGGACTCTACTCCGACTTCCATCTACGTCACTGCATTGCCCGTTGTGCTGGACATCAAGGACGACGTCATGGATGGCTTCAAGGAGCTGTGCAAGGTATGAACAGAACAACCCTTGCAGCGGTGTACCCTGAAGGCCTGTGCAGATCCCTGGTGAAGGACATCAAGTGGTACATCAATCACCTCAACTACTACGAGAACTTCTACAAATGTGAACGATGTGCCATGGGAAGAGCGGCAACATCCTCAATGGAGCACTCATTCTTGCTTGGAGAGTGTAGATATGGAAAATGGCCAGAGGGACAAGATCCACGTGAGAAGAAAAGACTTGAGAAGGAGCAACAGGAGAAGGACGACATCTTCGAGACCTTCAGACGTGAATCACTGAAGAACCCCAAGGTGATGCAAGGACGTCTCTCTGCACACCCTAGCTTCTCCTTCAACAGCGAGCAAACAGCTGTGCTGAAGATGGCTCTCATCAAACTTCTTTCAGAAAGCGTGGATGAGTTCGAGGCCTACGACAAGCGCAAGCACGACCACAACTACGTGCATTGGCTCCAAGACCCAACAGCTCTCAGCTGGCTCAAGAACATCCTCAAGGAATACATGATTGTGGAAGGAGCCATGGCCTGCCTTCAACCTTGGTCTACACCAACTCCCAATCCACAGATGACGGTGGAAGAAGCACCACTACGACTGCTGCTACGAGGCACTGTGGAGAGTTGGAAGATGGATCAAATTGAAGATTTACGAGAACTCAGTCTGAGCCAATGGAACTCCCCAGTCAACTTGGAAGAAGACTGGATGGTGGCCATTTTCGGAAAAGATGCTGAAGAACAACCTACAACGTCCTCTACCTCTTCAAGATCCAAACAGCCACGAGACGATGATGTGGAGTCTCAAGGCTATGACCCTTCCATTGGCGACGAACTGGAAGTTCTGCAACCACCTGCAATGGAAGTTGAAGAAGCTGATCAACCAGCTCAGAATCCTGGCTCTCTCAAGCCCATCTTCGACTTCAGAAGAGTCTTCACTCGATTGCCCAAGCTTGCAGGAAAAGATGATGTCACAGCAAAACGATTGATTCTTGGACTTCATGAACGGCTGTGGCATGCGCCATATCAAGACATCAAGAACATCCTGGTGAGATGCGGAATGCCCTATGATGTCTGGAAGCTTGCAAGTGATGCAATCTCTACATGCAGAATTTGCCGGAAGTTTGCAAGAGCTGGGAGAAGACCACAACACCGTGGAACAGATCTTGCTCTCCATTTCAATGAGGTCGTGCAGGTGGACTTGTTCAACTATGGCGACCAGCAGTTCATTCTCATCATTGACGAGGCCACGAGATACAAGATCGCGACCCAATGTGAAGGTCGTGAACTTCGACACATCCTGGCCGCCATCATGAAAAGCTGGATCAGATACTTTGGTCCAGTGAGAACACTTGTGTCGGACCAAGAAACTTCACTCATGACGATCCATGCTGGAGTTGAACTACAACGCCTTGGAATTGGACGGCGACCTGGAGGCACAACTTCTGGAGTACAAGGTCAGAAACATACGACCACGGGATTGGTGGAGAAGCACATCGACCTGATCAAGCTGACGATGGCGAAACTTCAAGCTGAAGCTGGCCGCTGGGGACTTGAGATAGAAGGTGAAGAACTTGCCAGCGAAGCCAGCATGGCTGCCAACACAACACACTGCATTGGTGGCTACTCTCCTGTGACAATGCTGTTTGGCATCTTGCCCAGAGGCTTTCTTGACCCTGAAGAAGCATCGCCATCTGACGGAGTTGAACCTGACGAATCAGCTTTTGAACGAGCTCTACGTCTACGACAAGTTGCTCTTCAAGCCGCACAAGCAGCAATACTGGAGAGCCGAATAGCTCGAGCAAACAGGTCGAGACCTCAACAACTGGAGCTTGGAAGTTTGGTGGCTGGGACATCGAAGGTGGAGATCTTTCGTGATGATGGTGGAGGCTATGGATGGAGAGGACCAGCCACGGTGCTCAAGGTCAACGACCATGGAACAGCCATCGTGGAATTTCAAGGTAGACCTTACCTCATTGGCCTCCGACACCTTCGACCTCTACGAGTAGCTTCAACTTCTCAGCACTACCTCCACTTCAACCTCTCTTGACGCTGAGCAAGCTCTTGCAAGGATGAAGAAGCTGGTGGAACAATGCACACCATACAGACCCTACACCATGGGAGAGATCTTGAAGAAGGAGAAGAACGAAACTTTGATGACGAAATTTCCCAAAGAGGAGAGCTCAACTGTCGAGCAGATGATGAAGGACGCAAGAACCTTTCTGGGCTACCACTACAACCATGTGACGTTCCACGGGATCCGATATGGACGAGGAATGAAGCTCATCATGGTCCCAAAGTTTTCCAAAGGAACATTGGTTACCTGGTCTGAAGGGCTCACCGGAATTGCAGTGGTGGAGCACAACTCTGATGCTCACATCCATGTCAAGGAGCTCTACAACAAGGACATTGACAAATTGTGCCACCTCTACCTGTACGGCTACGTGGAGATCCATGCAGAAGAAGCCAAATGGCCCATACAGATCTCTCGACGTACCCGACCTACAACGATGGACCAGATGGAAGACGACCCTATGTCAACTTCTTCACCCATGAACGAGTCCATCAAAGAGGAAGGCAACAACAAAAGAAAGGATCCTGAAACCAGGACAGTGGTATTGGCCCCAGAAAAGAAACGACAGAGAATGGAGCTGCACAACCTCTTCATGAAATCCATCTGGTGGATGATGCAACGATCCAGACGGATACAACTTCCTCTACACGAAATCTGGTATGAAGATGAACTGAGATGGATGAGGAGATCACAACTTGGCCAAACACAGCCAACTGCACCACCTCGACTCCTACTACATCTTCACTGCCGAACTGAGGCGCACTTGAACATATACCTGACCACGGGCGAGATCTACAGAGTGGACGAAGATACAGACGTCCTGGATGAACAACAAGTCTTGGAACACTGGCCTCACTTTGAAGAAAGTGATCGCCTGGAGGTCAAGCAGTTCATCGATGAGAAAGTGTTCAAGAAGGTGAAGATTAGCGAACTTCCTGAAGAAGTTGCTCTTGTGGATGCAGTTTGGGTGCGCAAGTACAAGCGCACGGCCGACAAGTCTCTCAAGGCAAAGAGCCGCCTTTGTGCCAGAGGATTCTTAGATCCTCAGAAGCGAGAACTTCCAACGAGGAGCACTACGGCTACGAGATTGTCTCAACGCTTGGTGCTGAGTATGGCTGCCTGCCATCGCTTCGACATCAGATCCTGGGATGTGTCAGGAGCCTTCCTCAAAGGATTTTCATTTGCGAAAGTTCGAGAAGTTCTTTGACGCAAAGGAGTGGCCACGCCAAATAGAAGAGTGGTGATCATACCTCCTCCAGATGTTTGGAGACACCTTGGAAGCTTCGATGAATCTTTCCACATCACTGACGATGAGCAGGGCATGTGGGGATTGGAATGCCTCAAACCTGCCTATGGACTTGTGGACGCCCCATTGGCTTGGCAGCTTTGTTTGCATGATGCTCTGGAAACTTCAGGAGGATCACAGTCATCTTTGGATGAGAATCTGTGGCTTTGGAAAAGCCCAACTGGACTGACTGCCTTGATGACGACACATGTCGATGACCTGGCAGTGACTGGAACAGATGACTTCCTGGAGAACCAGTACAAGTTTCTTTGCGGGCGATTTGGAAAGATTTCTATCCAGAAGCTGCCCTTTGCACATTGTGGATGCCGATGCAGCCGAACTGGCGATGGATATGCCATGGACCAACAGGAGTTCATTGACAACATGAAAGTCCTGGATTTGGGCCACCTTGGCTCTGACCAATCACGGTCCCTGGAGCCTTCTGAGAGACGCTGCTGCGCAGCATACTTGGAGGCCTGTTGTGGATCACAGCGACAAGATTAGATCTTGTGGCAGATGTTGGAGTTTTGCAGTCGCGTGTGACAAAGGCGACAGTACAAGATCTACACATGGCCATCAGCATCGTTCGCAAGGCGAAACTGGCCCAGTACAATGGCATTGGCATCACCTACAAGTGCATTCCCAAAGATGTTGCCTGGCGACTGGTCGCAGTTCATGATGCAGCATCAGCTCAAAAGGGCAAGGCATACTCACAAGAAGGAGTGATGATCCTATTGATGGAGGACACTCTCAACTTCGACCCAAAGATCCACACGATCAATGGCCTGAACATCAATGAAGAAAAGTTTGGTGGACGAGCCCACATCTTGTTTGCACATGGTGGAAAGTGTAAAAGGGTGAGTTACTCAACTTCTCACTCCGAAACACTGGCGGCCATCTCAGGCCTTGAATCGGCTTCTTTGGTCAGCCTACGTTTGGCTGAAATTCTACACCCAACTACAAGGCCAACTTTGCAGCAGCTGGCTGCACTTCAGGAGAAGGGCGTGCCATACCTTCCAGTGGACTGTATGACAGACTGCAAGGACTTCTGGTCGCTCACAACAGGTGCAACAGCACTTCCTCAAGACCGTTCACAACGTGTCTACATACTGGCGCATCGAGAAGCACGACTGTGCGGCAGATTGCGCTGGGTGATTTTGGTGCTGACGCAATCAATGCTGGCGGACGTTCTGACGAAGGTCATGTTGAGCCGCCAACTACTTCATCTTCTTTCAAGCGGAGAAGTTCAGTTTCGAAACGAAGAAGGACACCTGCTGGAAGCGAGACGACTCCCTGTCCAAGAAGAGTTCACAGAGGACGACTTGAACGAAGGAGATGAAAAGTGGATCCAGAACATGCTGAGCATGGAGGACCTCAAGGAGATCCAGAACTATACTACCTCATGGAGGAGCTCTACTTCGAGATCTTCTACGTGGAGCACAAGAGCGAGCTTTTGGCTTTTGGCACTGACTTGTGCTGCCAGTCTGACTCAAGGCACTTCAGAAGGAGATCAATGCCCTGTCGAGTCAGAACAAGAATTCAAAGTACAGAAGGTGGTCCTCTTTTCGATATCCACCGTTTGCATGATTTTGCTGGGCATGGTATACTACCTGTGGAAGCTGGTGAAGAAGCTCAACAACATGGTGGAGGATGAATCTCAACAACGAGTTCAGCCGCTGATTACAGCAGACTTGGTGAACAGGATGCTCACGACAGAGCACAACGTGATCGAACTGCAGCTGCAACTCAACGAGACGGTCCGCGACATCAAAATCCTTTATAGGACAGCCAGAAGACGAGCAGGACCACATCCTGAAGAACCTTCCTCCAGCCGACCGAGAACACATGACAGTCGACCACCTCTACCTGAACCTGAAGAAGGACTGTCAGTGGAAGGATCAGAACCTGAGGGTGAAGACTGGAGGGAAAGAACCTTTGATGAGACAGCATCAAGGTCAAGAGACGATAGTCCCAGACTGTCACCAGTGAACAATGAGTTCGACTACGAGCTGGATGCAGCTTTGGATGATGTTCCGCATGATGCAGACCGACACCAACGCCGAGAACTACAGCTGAGAAACAGGCTGCACATCATGACCATCAAGTCGAACAACATGGAGCACTACCTCCTGGCCTTCACACAGAGGCATCGCCGAGCTGCCTCACTTGTGGAGATCATCGGGCTCTACGACCAACAGGCCCGATCAATGGAAGCTCCAGGAACCTATCCTCATGCGGAGCTGATTGGTCACACCTCTGCACCTGATGGAGTTCTGCGCTACTTCATCCGGGAGACCTCCGACGAGTTTGGTGACACTGAAAGAGTGTTCAATACCCAATTGGGACTGTTCCGATTCCGCAACAGGCGGATCATCTTGCGTGAAGATCACCGCCTCTCTGAAACAGAGAGAAATGAACAAATAGACAATTTGTATGAAAACCTGAGAGAGCTGACATAGCCTCAGGTGCCCAAAACGCAGCTCTGACACAGGAGCAGACTTGACATTTGTGGTGTCATGCGTGGGCATAGAACATGTTCATACGACTGCAGGTCGACCTTAAGGCCCAAAACAACTAAAACTGCTGCCAAGTGGAATGATATAGTTATATTTAATATTCATATGTATGATATATATATATATACACATACACATCATACACATACATACACAAACATGATTCTACTATTTGAAACATGAGCGAAGCCAAAAATTATGTTTTATCCACCTCAGCAGCCAAGAACCAGCTTCCTCAATGCATTTTCCGGTTGTGTACTCTGTGCGACGTGTGTGAGAAAATCATATTGATGACATCACATGAATGAAGGTTACACAGTTTGTAGACTTGATCAATATGTGAGCTTTGGTCTTTGTATCCATCGGCTAGCATGGAACAGATGTGGAACCCCATACGGCTCAACTCAATAGTTTGATGGGTGATAAATATGATAAATGAAACCAGATGAAACCAGCAAGTTCTAAATCTCTTTGTGTTGGGCAGAGCAGCGCGACTTTTGATCCATAAAGAGCCTAGTGGAAAGGCAGCTGTTGTGCTCACTGATAAGAACAGATACTTCACCTGTCCAGTTGCACATGCATACACATGAACCCTTTTGCACTCCCCCCACGACTTTGTCGTGCCTGAAAGGGGTTTTACCGACAGGCTCAGGGCTCAAGGCTCTTAAGATTGGCCAGTAGCACCAGGTTGTTGTTAGGTGCACTGGTCTTAAAATCTGAAAAACTACAGTGCGTAAACACTCGCACTTTTCGAAGTCAACCTTGGCATGTAAAGACTCACACCGCGGCTGATCTGTCGGCAGTAAAGACTCTGCCAAAAAATGCCCGGCTCTCAAAAGAGCATCTTTTCAAAATTGCGCTCCACCTGGATCATGCCGTAGAGCTCGAAGTCACGGACTGGGCCGGTGAATCGGATCTCACCGTCACCCTGTCCAAAGACTCTTCACGCGGCTCCACATAAGCATTCGTGGAACTCGCTGCAGCTTTCGATGTTGTCATTGGTGGTCGCAACACCGATCGCAGACCCAAGTCCGCTGCAGCTTTGGCTGGCTGAACTCCTTGTTCTGCTCGAAGTTCACCAGTCATACGCAACATATGGGACAGCGTTGCCCTCTGACCTGCAGGCTCTTCCATCATCTGTTGTTGTGGTGGCCGCAAGCTGCCACCTTGATCTCCACCATAACCTGCATGCCATTGCGGTCGCTGTTGCATCGGAGCAGCTATTGGTGGTTGTACTTGTGGAGGTCCAGGCACATAGGTCTGAGCTGCCCTCGGCATTGCCTTACTAGGAGGTGGACCTGTTGGAGGTGGTCCCGCCATCACATGAGGTGGTGGGCCCGCTGGTGGTGGTCCCGGCATTGCATAGGGTGGTGGACCTGCAGGTGGTTTGCTGGTGGCTTGGCCATGCGGTCCATCCAGTTCTGCATGTTTTGTCGTTGAAACCAAGCCTGAGGTGGCGGTTTCCGTCCAGGTTGAACCATCCCGTGCTCAAACGGAACCCCTGGATCAGCCTCCTCTTCTTCTTCTGTGCTTTCTCTTGTCAGCCCATTCTTCGGCACAGCCATCACATTTCCCTGAAGAGCAAGTGAATGCGTCACCCCAGGAACAACTGGCCTGCGAAGCATCAAGCCCACCTGCGCAAAGTCCATCTCGACCTGCAATCCATTGAGCACACCATATCTGTAGGCCTGCATGGATCCAACCCAACTGGTTTGATCCCACTGGACCCAACGTCCATACGTCAAGGGAATGGTTTGGCCCTGCATCAGCGCTGTCATCACCTGCTGTACATGCTGCGCTGAAGGTGCTGATGCCATGCCAAAACTTGCCTTTGCCCGCATCTGTTGCCTCAAACCTCCTGGGACCATTGGCACCATCTCATGCTCTGGGTCGTTGCGCGTTCGCCTTGGAGGCAGCGCATTTTCCACCTCTGTGTCCTGCTCCACATTGACCTCTTCTTCAACGTTCTCTGGCTCTGCGTTGACCTCTTCCTCAACATTCACTGGGTCACCCGCAGGGGTCGAAGTGGTTGCCACCTCGGTTGCTGTGGTGGCTACTGGTGGGTCCGTTGTAGAAGTCATTGGAAGAGCAGGTGCTCCATCAGCAGTCTCATCGGTCCCGCCATCATCACCATTGCCCTCGTCCTCTTCCAGGATGACCTCCATGTCATTCTCAGAGACCTCCTCCTCTGCAGTCTCGCCACCATCTTCATCCAAGCTATCTGCATAAGGCTCCAAGGCTTCACTGCCTTTAGCCTTGCCTTTCGCTGCATAGTGAGCCTGTAGTTCTCCAGCGGTGGCAGGCTTGCCTTTTCCAATTTGTGCCACAGAGACACGACTCCTGCCACTCCCCTTCCCAGCTTGAGCTGGGGTGGTTCCACTTTCAGTCATCTCCTGAACGTCAGCCGCATAGTCGACCGCAGATGCAGCCGCTTGCACAGCCTGAGCCACCTCATTCGGGTCCTCGCTGTTGGTGTTCGCCTCATCGGCTGCTTGTAGTGCTTGAACAGCTCGTGCATTGGCGGTGGCCAGGAGGATGTTGCGCCTTTGCTCACCCGGGGAATCACCTCTTCCCATCAGCACTGGAGCCGCTTGCGCTGACCCTTTTCTTCCTTGGTCACGCGTGAAGAGCTGGCGTGGTCGACAGCCTTTGGCATATATCCTTTGCCAGGAAAGGTTTGGACTGAGCACTCCATGGATGATTGTTGAACCATCCTTGCCAGTCTCCACATTTTGCTTGGAGCCCGTGCCACGTCCCCGAAACCAGTATCCTGGGGGTCGCGCCCAAGCCATTCTTTGCCTCTTGACGTCCAGAGTTGTACATGTGCTGCATGGATGTTCTTCTTCATCCTCATCTTCATCAGCCGATGGGGGATCCGGCCCATGGTCTCGTTCTGGTTCACGTCGATTTCGACGATCTCGGCCAGGATCATCTCCATTTCCACCTGGTGGGGGCATAGCCATTGCACCATGCTTGCCCTCCAGCTGGACTTGCCGCTCAGTCTGTGGGGGCTGCTCTTCATCCACAACCTCTGAAACCAACTCATAGCTCCCATCAGACTGTGTCTCATCCACCTGTTGCGCTGGTGGTCTTGGAGGTCGCTCTTGTGGTTCTGGTTCTCGAAGATGTGGATTGTAGTTGCGGATCGGCACGTACTCAAAACCAAAGCGACTACCCCTCATTGTCCTTGCCCCCATTGCTGCTTGTCCACGTTGTTGGACGGGCAAGCGGTTGGGGTTCTGTTCCAGCCCAAATGGCTGAGGTTGTAGGGCTCATCATTGCTACCCTACCACGTTCAGACACCTTGCCAGTGCCCTTTCCTTTTTGGTCAAGCTGACCATCCATCTGGCCTTGTTGGCCCTTGTAGTGGCCTCCTTGGCCTTTTCCATAGCCATGCTGGCCATCATCCTGGCCATTGTGGCCTTTTCCCTTGGTTGCCCTCGAAGTCGGCAGTGAAGAAGTTCCCATTGCCGAACTTGTGGACGACCTCGCCGTGTCTTCCATGGCAAATCGCCCGACGCCCGAAACCTCAGTTGGCGGTTCGAGCCCAAGGTCTTCACCAGAGAAGTCCTCGATCGGATCTCCTTCAAGTCCATGCCATTGCTCAGCACGACCAACCAAGTTGCAGTTGAAACCATGCCCATCCCTTTGGCGCCTCTTCGAAAGACCTCGTTGTTGACGTCTCTTCCCATGGCTGGCTTTGAGCGCCCGAAGTTGCGGCCCGTGGCAGCCCGAAGGGCAGTTGTCAGGGTTTTGAGATGATCTTTGTGGGGAGGAAACTTGATCCCTTTGAGGATAGTACTCAGCACTAAGACTACGCTCCATGTTTGAAACCCTAAAGTTTCTTTTCCCCTCCACATCGATCATCCCTTTTGGGAAAGGTTGCATGGCCTCCTTTTGGCTCTTGTTGGGCGGTTCATTTTCCCTGCCCTTTTCTTGCATGGTGGGTTCATTTGGGGCCCTCACCATGGTTTTCATCAACCTACGGGGTGGTTCATTTTCCCTACCCTCATGTCTCAACGCCGGTTCATTTGGTGCCCTGACGTTGGCCTCTTCCATGTCAGTTGGTTCATTTTCCCTAACTGACCATGGTGGGGAAGGTTCATTTTCCCTTTCCCTCTTTTTCATCATCCAACATGCAGCAACAATGAGGCCCAGACCAGTTTCTTGACACTGAGAGTCAGCTGTCTCCATCAGCGTCCGGCCTGTTGTAAGGAACCTCACTATGGTCTCCTCTTCCGCTCTCAGTTCATCTTCTGCACGTCGTAGGATGTTGAGATCATCCAGGTAGATGGAGTCCACAAAGTTGTCCATCTTTGGTCCTTGAAGCGGTTTCGTCGCTCCATCAGCTGGAAGCACCAAGCCACTGACATGCCTCGCACACCATCGCGAGAGCTCATCTTGAAATGCTTCTCGAAGTCGAGCATACCTGATCCTCAGATGTCTTGTTCTCCAACTACCTGTGTCATTGGTGCACAAGTGAAGTGCACTTTTGGAATCGCAGTTGAGGGTCTTGTTGATGTCCCCAACGCCCATCACCTCCAGGAGTGCTGCAAGGCTTTCTCCACACTGGAAACCTTCTCCACAGCTCACCAGTTCGCTTTCAGCTGTTGAAGTGGTAACAAACGGCTGTCTGCCACTTGCCCATGCGATGGGAGAACCCCCAACACATAGTATCACCCCAGTCACCGACTTGTAGTTCTCGTGCTCCAGGGCGTGCGAAGCATCTACAAACACCTCCAAGTTGTTGATCGACACCTGCGTGGCCAGCTCATCATTGCGACCATACGGTTTTTGTGCTGAGGTCTTCATGTAGTGCAAACCCTTTGAACTTGTCGCACTCAAATAC